ATCTGATTCTTTTCATAAACCATGCAACTTTCTATGATCCCAGGTTTATAATACTTGTTATTGGCCACGCCCTGCGCCGTGTCCACTGATGATGCCCACAGTGGAGCTCAGTGTGCTCAGACACATGAACACTTAGAGGGAACATCAGCAGACAGCAGAACTCATTTTCAGCTTAGCAGTTAAGCTAACTTTGAAAACATTTAGCATGTTCAGATTCCCTAAATTAATTTTTGTTGCAATTAAATCAATACGCAATAAATGACTTGGCTGTTTCATAAACTATCAGTTGGATAATCTGTGTTAAAGTTTCGGTTTAGAATCTTCGAGTGATTCGATTCCTGCTGCATCAGAACAGTCTGGTTGTGTTGACATGACTCAAAGGCTGCAACATTAGCTTTAGCAGCTAACAATCAATCAAGTGTATTCATATAGCACATGTCAGCACCAAGGCAGTTCAAAGCTCCTTGAACATAAAATCATCATCATATAGTCAACAATAAGACATTACATCTGGGCATCGTTAAAGTAAGACACATCAAATCTATTGGTCAATGTTTTATTACTTATTAACCATCTCAACCAGGAGGCTAAATCACAGGAGGCTGTTTAGCCCCCTGTGGTTTAGCCCCCTGTGGTTTAGCCCCCTGTGGTTTAGCCCCCTGTGGTTTAGCCCCCTGTGGTTTAGCCCCCTGTGGTTTAGTCCCCTGTGGTTTAGTCCCCTGTGGTTTAGCCCCCTGTGGTTTAGCCCCCTGTGGTTTAGCCCCCTGTGGTTTAGTCCCCTGTGGTTTAGCCCCCTGTGGTTTAGTCCCCTGTGGTTTAGCCCCCTGTGGTTTAGCCCCCTGTGGTTTAGTCTCCTTTAAATCGAGGCTAAACCACAGCAGGTTCAGCCTCAATTTAAAGAGTTTTGGCTGTTTTAAAGTTTTCTGGAAGTTTGTTCCAGATTTGTGGTGCATCGAAGCTGAATATTTCTTCTCCATATCTGGTTCCAGAACCTGAGAAGTCCAGAAGGTTGATCCAGCAGCAGCAGATCTTTAGTCCATTCAGAGATTAAGCAGCTAGCAGTAACAGGCGCTGGGAACGATTTACGCTCTATGGGCCACAGGGGCCAACCTTTTTCCGCCAGCCCTAACCAAAGGTTCTGGAGGAGGTTTGGATCAAACAGAAGCTAAGTCCAGCCTGGTTCCATTGGGGCGAGCAGAACCTGGGTCTGTGGAGCTTTACCTGTAATATGGTCTCAAAGTTGAAGGTGAGTCCGTTCCACAAGGTGAACTCTCCACTGGAGGCCCCGGTCACCAGCCGGCGGCCCTCAGGGGTCCACTACAGACAGAACCAGGACAACCCGTTAGACTCAAACGCACACAGGAAGTGATGCGGCAGAGCGGCGGCCTCTCACCCTGATGACAAAGACGGGACACTTGACCTTGTTGGTGGAGGTCCGGACGAACTTGGTGGTGACGGCGTTCATCGGGTTGTTGAGCATTCCCAGAGGAGGAACCAACTGCAGAACACACAGTCCGATTAAGCCCCGGTTCTGGTCAATTGTGGTTGGGTTGCAGTCGGATTCAGGTCAGGTTTCGGTCAGGTTCTGGTCAGGTTGAGGCCAGGTCCAGGGCCAGGTTTTAGTCGGGTTGCCGTCAGGTCCTGGTCCGGTTCTGACCCGGAGAGGTGTGACTCACGTCGTTGTAGCAGCCGGCGTCGGGCTGGATGGCCCTGAAGTCCCGGTGGTCGCGCTGCCACAGGCGGTTCTGAAAGGAGATGGACACAGCCGGGTTAACGGGCAGCGTGCAGGGCCGGAACCGGGCCGGAGATGGTTCTGATACCTCCAGGTATCTGATGACGGACGGGTTGTAGTCGATGGTCTTGCGGTTGACGGCCTTCCTCATGCGCTTCCCGTCGAAGGTGAGCTGCTGCATGGCCTGCTGCTGCGCGAAGTCGGGCCGCTTGTAGAACACCTGTCGCGGCGCCTGGTGCTGGAAGCGCGGCATGTGGAAGAACCGCTGCGGCGAGCCCACGTCTGTCGCCATAGTGACCACCTTAACCTGCAGCACAGAGGGGACAACAGCAGAGAGATTATAATAATAATAGTCCACTTTATTTATGAAACCATTTTAATCTCCAATTGAAACCTTAAAGGCCTCAATCACACCCTGATGATGGATGATAGCTACTGGATTGTAGCTGCAGCTGCCCCAACAGGCTCACAGAACACAGGCTGCAAATCTGTGCACCATCAGCCCTTCTGACCCCAACACCAGCAGGCAAGGTGGATGAATTTTTTTGTTCAGGGACGCAAACCACAGATGGGGACCTGAACCATTATTACTGGTGGCAGACAGCTGCTGCCTGCAGCTGGGCGGAGCCTCTCGGCCTCTTCTGAAGGTTGACTTTTAGTTCCGCCCACCAGGTCATATTGCACCTTTTCAATTAACAATTATCAACACTGTTGCCAATTCAACAACTTCCTTGCCATATTTAGCAACGTTTCAGACGTCTCGGCAGATATCCGCGATTGGTGCTACACCTGGTGCTGGAAATGCAGAGAACCAATGACCATTTATAATGTGGATTTATTGATACTCATTTTTATCCTGGTAATTATGCGCAACCTTTATGTTGTCGCCTGAGTTGCGCTGTTTGCTGACCTGCTTTTAACTTTCAGTGAATTATTTTCCCTGCCGCAGCTTATTTGCCCAGAACTTTGTTTTTAGGGAAAATAAATTTGAAAGTAAGCCCGGTGGTGTAATGTAACTGAACTACGTTACGCCTGAATTCACCCACCCACTGTGGAAATGCTGAGTACTTGAACGGGAGGGGGCAGAGGTCAATCCACGAGTGTTTCCGGGTGAACCCTGATCCTGACCCCACAGCTTCTCTCCTCCAGCCTCTGCTGTTTAAACTCGTTTGGTTTTACGTGGATTCATGTTTTTATTGTAATTCGGTGGCACGTTGAGCTTTACATGTGAAAAGCATTATAAATATAATTTTTGTTAGTTTGAACTTTCCAGGTCATTTGGTGTTAACCAGCAGCGGCCGTTAGCAGCAGCTAGCAGCTTCAACCCCAGGATTAGCTTGTCTGCTCCAGAGTTTAAGCGTTTACAGGTAAAACTGTGCTGAGGTGAAGCTTAATGCCTGCTTCTGCTTCTCTGTGTCTGATATTTAATGCCTAGGTCCTGGTTCTGGAGCCCCGATCTTTAACCGAACCCAGCAGCGCTGATGCCAAGAGGGTTAGCCGCAGCAGCTAACAGGCTAACCGGGCGCAGGGAAGCAGGAATCCGCGGATGTTCCCCTAGTAGATCCCGCCAGATGGAGTCACAACAAATCATTGGGTCCCTGCAGGCTCCGAGCTTTTAAACACCGGGTTTCGGTTCGGTACTGACCCGTTTCAGCCATAGGAGCATCTTTAATGGCGACGGCGGTTCCGGCAGAAACTCACCAACAATCAGCTAGCTGGCTGTCATCAACAGACTGGGTTCTCCTGGAGGCCGGTTCTGGAGAACCATGAGGAGCTCAGCCTTCCCCGGCAGATGGAGCACAGAATCCTTCCCCAATACCAGCAGATTAATCACCTGATATGAACAGATTTATCACGTTAACCGCCAGCGGACTGCATCATGACGCCTCTTCTTCTCGGCCCGGTGAAAAGCATGCTGGGAAACCTGCGCAACGGGCGGGATTTTGCGTCTGCGTCATCCAGCAAAGGATACAGGGAAACTGAGTATTGTGTGGCTCAGCCATTTTAACCAATTACAATTTATATATATTCATAAAATCAGTGTTTGACTCTGATGTATCCCTGGAATGGTTAATATAAATGATTTGGCAATGTTTTGTTTAACATTGTGTATTAATATTTTCTTTGATGAAATATAATCCAGATTATTTTAACATCACTTTTAGATGTTTGTATATTTTTGTGTTGAATTTTTGGGATATTATCTCATCAATGTACATTTTATTGCAGAAATTCCGCCATTTCATTTCTGGTCCTCATTGGTTGTGATGTTTATGAATTTCCAACATGGTCTCTGTTAACCTAGCTCAGATTAATTATTCAGAATAAATAGTTTTTCTATAGTTTATTTCAACAACTTGAACTAAAATCTCACCCTGAGCATAAAGTTTCAGGTAGATGTCAGAAATGTCAAGATTTTCGGTTTAAACTTCTCCTAAAATGTCAGCTGTAGTAAGAGTTGCTTGTGACGTCATGGCCCGGTCCTGTCCAATCAGAACGCAGAGTTCGTCCGTTCAGCGCCGAACTCAAACCGTTGAAGCCCTGTGCTGCTTCGCTCCGACCGTTGGTTCTGCCGGTAAGTTCTCTGCAACAGGCCGGTACCAGTCGCTCGATCATACCAGGCTCGGACCATGGGAGAGGTTCGGGCCCGTTAAAGTTTTCTGTAGTGGTCTGATCGGTGTCTGCGGGACTGTAACGGCCCAGATTAACGGCTAACTCCGAGCTAACCGGTCGGGCTAACTTGCGCTGTTTCAACCACTTCCATCCGAATTTCTGGGCCAATTTCACAAATCCGTCACTGCCCATGAAATATAAGCTAAATTTAACCCGGATCCGAACACAGTTTCTGTCAAATGTGAGCCAGAACACCGGATAAGTTACCGGTTCCACCATGGTCCATGAATCCGTTCTGCTCATGAGGAGCTGAAAGTTATCTAAAATTACCAGTGAACCGAATCAGTTCAGGAATCATTCTTTTCAGCATCCGGGTTGACTGCCTCAGTCAATCTGAACTGATTCGGTTCATCAGAATGTTTTTAATCAGGATCTCTGAACTGGTGTTCTGCAGGTTCAGCAGATGATCAGGCCAGCTTGTTCGGCTGAACCTGATCTGAGAGGCAGAGATGAGCAGCTGGAGCCACAGAACCAGTGAGAAACACTCCCACACCAGTCCCACCATGGCTAGTCATCTCCATGTGCACTGCATCTCCATCTGATGATGATCATGATGATGCTGTTCGACTCCCTTCTTGTGTTTCAGTTCCAAGAGTCGGTCCAGACGGGTCAAAAGGTTCTCCAAAGCATCTCTACAGAAGCCTGGATGGACCAAAGAGGAGGCAAGGATGATGATGGTGATTGTGGTGGTGATGGTGATTGTGGTGATGGTGATGATGGTGGCCGTGATGATGATGATTGTGGTGATGATGATGCTCTTCCTCAGGATGAGCTCCTGCGGCGCTTGGTGAAGGAGCGTGGAGCCAGCAGCTGGTCCTCGGTGGCGTTGTCCTTCAGGGTGAGTGTCTCAGTGAGACATCTGGTTTTCAAATTCTGTGATGGTGACCAGTGGGTGGCGCTCTCTCTTTCCTTCTTTCAGGGTCATAGGTCAGAGGTGCAGTGTCAGAGACGCTGGCAGCAGATCAAGAACCCAGAGTTGGTCAAAGGCCCATGGACCCAGGAGGAGGACCGGCGGGTGAGGACCGTTAACCCTTGCTGTTCTGTGCCATGCCCCCTTCCCCCGTCCCATCTGGATCTGATATCACTTCATGTTTAGGTCATGGAGCTGGTCCAGAAGTACGGTGTGAAGCGCTGGTCGCTCATCGCCAAACATCTCCACACTCGCAATGGGAAGCAGTGTCGAGAGCGCTGGCACAACCACCTGAACCCAGCGGTGAAGAAGAGCTGGACGGCCGAGGAGGACCGGGTGGTGTGCCAGGCCCACAGGTTGCTAGGCAACCGCTGGGCTGACATCTCCAAGCTGCTACCTGGCAGGTACCCAACCTGCTCCATGACCTGTCTGAGTCTGGATGGAAAACTTTTGACCTTTCTCACCATTTTTACACTGCAGTGCCTTGATCTGTGTCAGGTGCGTTGACATGTGTACAGGTGTGTTGACCTATGCCAGGTGCGTTGTCCTATGTCAGGTGCGTTGACCTATGCCAGGTGCGTTGTCCTATGTCAGGTGCGTTGTCCTATGTCAGGTGCGTTGACCTATGCCAGGTGTGATGACCAGTCATTACACCTGGCTGCAGGTGTGTTGACCTATGCCAGATGCGTTGACCTATGCTAAGTGCGTTGACCTATGCCAGGTGCGTTGTCCTATGTCAGGTGCGTTGTCCTATGTCAGGTGCGTTGACCTATGTCAGGTGCGTTGACCTATGTCAGGTGCGTTGTCCTATGTCAGGTGCGTTGACCTATGTCAGGTGCGTTGTCCTATGTCAGGTGCGTTGTCCTATGTCAGGTGCGTTGTCCTATGTCAGGTGCGTTGACCTATGTCAGGTGCGTTGTTCTATGCCAGGTGCGTTGACCTATGTCAGGTGCGTTGTCCTATGTCAGGTGCGTTGTCCTATGTCAGGTGCGTTGACCTATGTCAGGTGCGTTGACCTATGCCAGGTGCGTTGTCCTATGTCAGGTGCGTTGTCCTATGTCAGGTGCGTTGTCCTATGTCAGGTGCGTTGTCCTATGTCAGGTGCGTTGACCTATGTCAGGTGCGTTGACCTATGTCAGGTGCGTTGACCTATGTCAGGTGCGTTGACCTATGTCAGGTGCGTTGTCCTATGTCAGGTGCGTTGACCTATGCCAGGTGCGTTGTTCAATGCCAGGTGCGTTGACCTATGTCAGGTGCGTTGACCTATGTCAGGTGCGTTGACCTATGTCAGGTGCGTTGACCTATGCCAGGTGCGTTGTCCTATGTCAGGTGCGTTGACCTATGTCAGGTGCGTTGTCCTATGTCAGGTGCGTTGTCCTATGTCAGGTGCGTTGACCTATGTCAGGTGCGTTGACCTATGTCAGGTGCGTTGACCTATGCCAGGTGCGTTGTCCTATGTCAGGTGCGTTGACCTATGTCAGGTGCGTTGACCTATGTCAGGTGCGTTGACCTATGTCAGGTGCGTTGACCTATGTCAGGTGCGTTGACCTATGTCAGGTGCGTTGTCCTATGTCAGGTGGGTTGTCCTATGTCAGGTGCGTTGTCCTATGTCAGGTGCGTTGACCTATGTCAGGTGTTGACCTATGTCAGGTGCGTTGACCTATGTCAGGTGCGTTGTCCTATGTCAGGTGGGTTGTTCTATGTCAGATGCGTTGTTCTATGCCAGATGCGTTGTTCTATGCCAGGTGCGTTGACCTATGCCAGGTGCGTTGACCTATGCTAAGTGCGTTGACCTATCCAGGTGCGTTGTCCTATGCCAGGTGCGTTGACCTATGCCAGGTGCGTTGACCTATGTCAGGTGCGTTGTCCTATGTCAGATGCGTTGTTCTATGCCAGGTGCGTTGACCTATGTCAGGTGCGTTGACCTATGCCAGGTGCGTTGACCTATGTCAGGTGTGTTGACCTATGTCAGATGCGTTGTTCTATGTCAGGTGCGTTGTCCTATGTCAGATGCGTTGTCCTATGTCAGGTGGGTTGTTCTATGCCAGGTGCGTTGACCTATCCAGGTGCGTTGACCTATGCCAGATGCGTTGTCCTATGTCAGGTGTGTTGACCTATCCAGGTGCGTTGACCTATGACAGGTGCGTTGTCCTATGTCAGGTGCGTTGACCTATGTCAGGTGCGTTGACCTATGTCAGGTGCGTTGACCTATGCCAGATGCGTTGACCTTTGCCAGGTGGGTTGACCTATGACAGGTGCGTTGTCCTATGTCAGGAGCGTTGACCTATGCCAGGTACGTTGACCTATGCCAGGTGGGTTGACCTATGACAGGTGCGTTGTCCTATGTCAGGAGCGTTGACCTATGCCAGGTGCGTTGACCTATGCCAGGTGGGTTGACCTATGTCAGGTGCGTTGTCCTATGTCAGGTGCGTTGTCCTATGCCAGATGCGTTGACCTATCCAGGTGCGTTGACCTATGCCAGGTGTGTTGACCAATGCCACTACCCTAACCCTAACCCTGACCTATCCAGGTGTGTTGACCTGTCTACAGGTTATGACCTGTCTGCAGGTGTGTTGACCTGTTTGCAGCCTCTAGTGCGTCTCCTCTGCCGTGTCTTCCAGAACAGACAACTCCATAAAGAATCACTGGAACTCCACCTTGAAGCGGAAAGTGGAGAAGGAGGGTTACCTGCACTTCCTGCAGCTGCACGGCTCAAGCTCCGCCTCCAGACCTGGGACGAGGAACCACACGTCCCGCAGAGCCCAGTCTAAGGTCCGTCCCCAGCCAGTAGGTTACATCACATGTGTCAAACTCAAGGCCCGGGGGCCAAATCCGGCCCGCGGAAGCTTTTTATGTGGCCCTCCACAGACTATACTAAACACTAAGTGTGATTAAATATTATATTATCAATCATATCAATGCAGTTTTTATCTGTTTACTGCCAATTTATATCAATCAGTGCCTCCAGTTTCTTGAGAATTTAGTTGATGTATGATTTTAGTCCATGATTTATACAGCGAGTAAATAAACAGTCGCATTTATTATTAGTTTCTGAATGCACTGAAAAGATGTTCAGAAATATTATGTAATTTTAAGAATTTATTGACATATTAACAATTTGTGAACAGGTTTTATCAACACATTCTGGCACAACCGGCCCTTTAAGAGCTTTCATGATATTGATTTGGCCCAAAACAAAATGAGTTTGACACACCTGGTCTAGTTGGTCAGGATGCTGACTCTGATCTGTGTCCTTGCAGGCTGACAGTCTGTCCACCATCAAATGAGTCCAGCTTCTCCTCCAATCAGAGCACCTGCAGACCGCATGGAAGCTCCACCCACCTGTGTTCCACCTGGGCCCCCACTTCCTGCTCAGGCTGCAAGCAGGGCGCGTCCACCGAGCTAATGGAGATGGTAAATCCGTTCCCTGGACCCTGCCCCTGTCTGTCCTCTGGGACCAGGCCCATGTTTGTCTCTGTCCCCAACAGAAGTCCTGCTCGTCCCAGAACCTGGAGGCTTGGAGCTACCAGGAAATGACATCACAACCCTTCTCCAGAGGCGCCGCTGCTCAGAGAGGACTCGCCGTCCGTCATCGACCTGAGCAGGAGCTACGTAAGGCGATGTGGCAAGGCCGGTCCCGGCTTCCTGAGGACAGGTGAGACAGTTGCTGTCTTGTGCAGGTTCCAGGTGTTAAGGAGCAGCTGATGAAGACGGATGAAGGAGCGTCCTTCTTGGACTCGTCCTCATCCTGGGAGAGGAGCAGTATGATGGAGGCAGCAGTCTTCTCCCCAGCGGAGGTAGAACCACAGAGAGACAGACAGAGACATGTCCAGCAGGTGTCCTTCAGGCCGGCCATCTCAGTGTCTACCTGTCCCAGGTCTTCAGCCTGAGTGCTGCAGAGGAGCTGAGCTTCCAGCGCCCGCCGCTCACCTCCACGCCGCTCTGCTCCCTCAAACACCAGAACGTCTGCTGCGTCCACTGCAGCCTCGGCTCCAGGTCCGCTCCGGCCTTTTTCACTTTGAGCCCTTGTGACCCCTGACCCTAACTCCTCATTTGTCCGTTCAGGACAGAGCAGATCAGAGCACTGTTCCCCTCGGCTCCGGAGACGCCCACACCGCTCAAGGTGCCCGACTGCCAGGACGAGGTGAGTCCATCCGACCACCACCAACCGGCCGAAGCAGGAGCTCAGGCTGAGCCATGTGTGTGTGTGTGTGTGTGTGTGTTGTGTGTGTGTGTGTGTGTGTGTGTGTGTGTGTGTGTGTGTTCCCCAGGTGGCAGCCTGCTCCAGACTGATGATGAACCTGACAGGAGGAGAGAGGAGCAGTGACCCTGACAGCCAGCAGTCCAGCTGCAGCTCTGAGGTCAGCCTGACAGAGAACGCTCTGAGCGGGTCCAATAGAGGGTTCTGGTGGGTTCTGGTGGGTCCAATAGAGGGTTCTGGTGGGTTCCGGTGGGTCCAATAGAGGGTTTGGTGGTTCCGGTGGGTCCAATAGAGGGTTCTGGTGGGTCCAATGTTCCGCTGTCTGTGTCCTGGTCGTGGAGTTTAGGTTTCCTCCCTGACCCTCTTCCTGCTGCCGGGCCCGACCCGGTCCAAACCTGATCCAGAACTCCTCATTAATGTCCCTCTCATGACCTTGACAACCAGGTTCTCCTTATCAGAGCCTCACCTTCCTGACCTTTGACCTCCAGGTTCACGGGGAGAGCCTGCTGAGCTCCATACTACAGATCAGAACGGGACCGGCTCGGCCTCACAGGTCCAAGTCGGTTCCGGTTCGGGCCAGCAGAAGGTCCAGGGCCCGTCCGGATCGGCGGTTCCGTCTCAGACCCGCTTCGTCCCGACCTGCGATGAGTTTGAATGTTTCCCGCTGGACGACAGCTGGAGGTGTGGTGGGCCCAGCAGCACGCTCCCAACCAGGGCTCGCCTGAGTGTCCGGCCAACAGAACCAACCCGTTCGAGGTAACGGCCAGGCCCGGTTCAGAACCAGACCCGGGTTCTGCTCTGCCTCTCAGGCTCACCTGTGTGTGCAGGTGAGCGGCGAGCTGCAGGTGGTGATGTTCGGGAGAACCGAGGACCAGGCCAGTCTGACCCAACAGGCCCGCCACTATGTGGCGCCGTGACCAGAACCAGGTCCAGACCCGGTCAGACCACGCGGTGAGCCGGGCCAACAGACAGCTGTGATGTCATGACTGGTTAATGTGGGCCAAACGCTGTGATGTCATACTTCCGTGTCCTTGTGGTTTCAGGTGAGCATCCAGGTGGGGACCAACCAGAACCTTCAGAGTTCTGGACACTTCACCTCTGGCAGGTGAGTGAACCACACCGAAGCAGAACCGTCGTTTCTGGACAGGAATGAACGGTGAAGGGATGGAACCTGGTGGGACCTGGTGGACCTGGTGGAACCAGGTGGAACCAGGTGGAACCAGGTGGGACCAGGTGGAACCTGGTGGACCTGGTGGAACCAGGTGGGACCTGGTGGGACCTGGTGGAACCAGGTGGAACCAGGTGGGACCTGGTGGAACCAGGTGGAACCTGGTGGGACCTGGTGGGACCTGGTGGAACCTGGTGGAACCAGGTGGGACCTGGTGGGACCAGGTGGAACCTGGTGGGACCTGGTGGAACCAGGTGGGACCAGGTGGGACCTGGTGGGACCAGGTGGAACCTGGTGGAACCAGGTGGAACCTGGTGGGACCTGGTGGAACCTGGTGGGACCTGGTGGAACCAGGTGGGACCTGGTGGAACCTGGTGGAACCAGGTGGAACCTGGTGGACCTGGTGGGACCTGGTGGGACCTGGTGGACCAGGTGGGACCTGGAACCTGGTGGAACCTGGTGGAACCTGTGGGACCAGGTGGAACCTGGTGGAACTTGGTGGAACCTGGTGGAACTTGGTGGTTGGTGGAACCATGTGGACCTGGTGGACCAGGTGTAACCTGGTGGACCTGGTGGAACCTGGTGGGACCAGGTGAACCAGGTGGAACCAGGTGGGACCTGGGGGACCTGGTGGGACCTGGTGGAACCAGGTGGGACTGTGTGAACGCCTGGTGGACCTGGTGGAACCTGGTGGGACCAGGTTGGAACCTTGGTGGAACTTGGTGGAACCTGTGGAACTTGGGAACTTGTGGAACCAGGTGGGACCTGGTGGGACCAGGTGTAACCTGGTGGGACCTGGTGGAACCTGGTGGGACCAGGTGGAACCAGGTGGGACCAGGTGGACCTGGTGGACCAGGTGGAACCAGGTGGAACCTGGTGGGACCAGGTGGAACCAGGTGGGACCAGGTGGAACCAGGTGGAACCTGGTGGGACCAGGTGGAACCTGGTGGGACCTTGTGAACCTGGTGGGACCTGGTGGAAACCAGGTGGGACCAGGTGGAACCTGGTGGAACTTGGTGGGACCAGGTGGACCTGGTGGAACCTGGTGGAACCTGGTGGGACCTGGTGGAACCTGGTGGGACCTGGTGGAACCAGGTGGGACCAGGTGGAACCTGGTGGAACTTGGTGGAACCTGGTGGAACCTGGTGGAACCTGGTGGAACCAGGTGGAACCTGGTGGGACCAGGTGGAACCTGGTGGAACCTGGTGGGACCAGGTGGAACCTGGTGGGACCAGGTGGAACCAGGTGGGACCAGGTGGAACCTGGTGGGACCTGGTGGAACCAGGTGGGACCAGGTGGAACCTGGTGGGACCTGGTGGGACCAGGTGGAACCTGGTGGGACCAGTAACAGTTCCGCAATAAGAGCATAATGATCCGATGTTTTTGTGTCCAGAGTGGAGAAGAACCGCAGTGACCGTCACCTCGGGGATGAAGATGACTCCTCCTCCTCACCTTGTCATCGAGGCAGCCAACCAGAAGAGAGGATTTTTTGTCGTTTCCTGCTACCTCATCAGTTCTCTCTGATGTTTTATTTCTTTGTTTGGGGAATTTTTTTTCTTCTTTTCTTGTTTTACCCGACCAGAAGGAGACGAGTTCCGGGTCGGTTCTGATTGTCGGCCCGGACCGGGTCACCGACTGGCCTTTAGATCCGATTTTTATCTCTGGACGTTTATTCAGTTTCTTTCTTTCTTGGATGTCGTTGTGATCCCGGGGGAAGTGCTGCTCATGGACCGGATCGGAACCAACCCACTTCAGGGACTTTTCTTTATTTCTGACGGCACTTTATCTTTAAGCTTTGCACTTTGGATCGGAACCGATCGAAGCAGAACCTTGAATCAGACAAGATTATTCACAATTGAATGATTTACATGACTAAACCTTTATTTGAATGTTTGAACACATGGAGAACTTTGTTAGGACAGAACCAGTACAGATGAAGTTCTGTGTGAAAATCCAGTTTCTATCGGACCCGACCGACCTGGTCTGGCTGTGACTCTGATAATTTCTTTGAGAATAAAGGACCAGATGGAAACACTCGGACTGTTCTCCGTATGCCTCTGTTCCAGAACCGACCGGTTAGCGCTTCTGATGAATGCAACTCTCTGGTTCTTCAGAACCAGACTCTGTCGGTCCAGGTCCCGGCTGGACTTGGACCTTCTACACTCTCAGTTCTGGATAAGTCAGAATCCACCGGAGCCAAACTTCCTATATCATACCAGGATCAGACCCAGAGTCAGCCCCCCTGGTTCTGGTTCTGGTCTAGTCGGGCTGGAAGGCGTTGTTGTCGGCGCTGGTGTCGCCATGCGGCCGGCCCAGCAGGGGGCAGCAGCTCCTCCTCCTGGACTGGGTGAGGACTCTGCAGAGGAAGCCGGAGGGGCGGAGCCACGTTGGCGGGGCCAGTGTGGGGGTCGGTCTTCCTCACAGCCGGGGCGTGCTGCGGCCACTGCAACCGCATAGAACCGGGTCAGAATTTAGCCAGAACCGGTTGTAGGGTGTCTGTCATCATTACCTGCTGCAGCCACAGGGGGCGCTGTGCCTCTGAACCATAGCAGGAACAGAACCCCTCCTCAGCAGAGTGGGAGTGGCTCCAGATGAGGCTCCGCCCTGCAACATAGACATCGTGACATCATCACCTCTCAGCCAATCCACTGCTGAGGTTCTGGTCAGACACACAGAGGCCCAGATCTGACCTGTCCTCATCAGAGACAGGAAGTGAGGGAACAGGAAGTGAGGGGGAAAGGAAGAAAAGCCGCAGGAAGTGAAGGTCCCCAGTGTGCAGCCTGCTGGTTCCATTCCTGTCAGCCCTCGGAGCTGTGAGGTCAGAACCTCCATTAACTCTAGAACCTCTGACAACGAGGTGAAGATGTGGATCCTGGTTCTGACCCGTTTGGAACCGGATCTTTGGTAGATCTGCAGGTCTGGATCAGATCGGGGAACGGAGAGGGAGAGGACAGGCCTCCCTCCACGAGGACACCGCTCAGCGATCTGTCCGCCGTCGTCCATTCAGCTCTTTTCAGATTAAGAGCCACTAAAGAGCTTTAGAGTTTCTTAGTAACCAATCTGAGATTAACATCGACTTAGCTCTGCTATGGCCAAATGAGCTGCAGCTGCTAACGACACACTAACAAGTAAACAGGTGTGGTCCAGATTTCACACTGAAACCACACACTACCAGTGTGTGTGTCCAGGTGTGTGTGTGTTTCCAGGTGTGTGTGTGTGTCCAGGTGTGTGTGTGTCGAGGTGTGTGTGTTTCCAGGTGTGTGTGTGTTTCCAGGTGTGTGTGTGTGTCCAGGTGTGTGTGTGTGTCCAGGTGTGTGTGTGTCCAGGTGTGTGTGTGTGTCGAGGTGTGTGTGTGTTTTCCAGGTGTGTGTGTGTGTCCAGGTGTGTGTGTGTTTCCAGGTGTGTGTGTGTGTGTCCAGGTGTGTGTGTGTGTCCAGGTGTGTGTGTCCAGGTGTGTGTGTGTTTCCAGGTGTGTGTGTTTCCAGGTGTGTGTGTGTCCAGGTGTGTGTGTGTGTCCAGGTGTGTGTGTGTCCAGGTGTGTGTGTGTGTCGAGGTGTGTGTGTGTTTCCAGGTGTGTGTGTGTGTCCAGGTGTGTGTGTGTTTCCAGGTGTGTGTGTGTCCAGGTGTGTGTGTGTGTCCAGGTGTGTGTGTGTGTCCAGGTGTGTGTTTCCAGGTGTGTGTGTGTTTCCAGGTGTGTGTGTGTTTCCAGGTGTGTGTGTGTGTCCAGGTGTGTGTGTGTTTCCAGGTGTGTGTGTGTGTCCAGGTGTGTGTGTTTCCAGGTGTGTGTGTTTCCAGGTGTGTGTGTGTTCAGGTGTGTGTGTGTGTCCAGGTGTGTGTGTGTTTCCAGGTGTGTGTGTGTGTGTCCAGGTGTGTGTGTGTGTCCAGGTGTGTGTGTCCAGGTGTGTGTGTGTTTCCAGGTGTGTGTGTGTCCAGGTGTGTGTGTTCAGGTGTGTGTGTGTGTCCAGGTGTGTGTGTGTTTCCAGGTGTGTGTGTGTGTGTCCAGGTGTGTGTGTGTGTCCAGGTGTGTGTGTGTTTCCAGATGTGTGTGTGTGTGTCCAGGTGTGTGTGTGTTTCCAGGTGTGTGTGTGAGTGTGTCCAGGTGTGTGTGTGTGTCCAGGTGTGAGTGTGTGTCCAGGTGTGTGTGTTTCCAGGTGTGTGTGTCCAGGTGTGTGTGTGTGTCCAGTGTGTGTGTCCAGGTGTGTGTGTGTTTCCAGGTGTGTGTGTGTGTGTCCAGGTGTGTGTGTTTCCAGATGTGTGTGTGTGTGTCCAGGTGTGTGTGTTTCCAGATGTGTGTGTGTGTGTCCAGGTGGTTGTGTGTTTCCAGATGTGTGTGTGTGTGTCCAGGTGTGTGTGTGTGTCCAGGTGTGAGTGTGTGTCCAGGTGTGTGTGTTTCCAGGTGTGTGTGTCCAGGTGTGTGTGTGTGTCCAGGTGTGTGTGTGTCCAGGTGTGTGTGTTTCCAGGTGTGTGTGTGTGTCCAGGTGTGTGTGTGTTTCCAGATGTGTGTGTGTGTGTCCAGGTGTGTGTGTTTCCAGATGTGTGTGTGTGTGTTTCCAGGTGTGTGTGTGTGTCTCCAGGTGTGTGTGTGTGTCCAGGTGTGTGTGTGTTGCCAGATGTGTGTGTCCAGATGTGTGTGTGTCCAGATGTGTGTGTGTGTCCAGGTGTGTGTGTTTCCAGGTGTGTGTGTGTGTGTGTTTCCAGGTGTGTGTGTGTCTCCAGGTGTGTGTGTGTGTCCAGGTGTGTGTGTGTTGCCAGATGGTGGTGTGTCCAGATGTGTGTGTGTCCAGATGTGTGTGTGTGTGTCCAGGTGTGTGTGTGTTTCCAGGTGTGTGTGTTTCCAGGTGTGTGTGTGTTTCCAGGTGTGTGTGTCCACGTGTGTGTGTGTTTCCAGGTGTGTCCACGTGTGTGTGTGTCCAGGTGTGTGTGTTGCCAGATGTTTGTGTGTGTGTCCAGGTGTGTGTGTGTTTCCAGATGTGTGTGTGTGTGTCCAGGTGTGTGTGTCCAGGTGTGTGTGTGTGTCCAGGTGTGTGTGTCCAGGTGTGTGTGTGTGTCCAGGTGTGTGTGTGTGTGTCCAGGTGTGTGTGTTGCCAGATGTGTGTGTGTGTGTCCAGGTGTGTGTGTGTCCAGGTGTGTGTGTGTGTCCAGGTGTGTGTGTGTGTCCAGGTGTGTGTGTGTGTCCAGGTGTGTGTGCACCTGCATCAGCTCCACGCAGGCCGATGGGAAGAATCCCTCCGCTCCGTTCTCCAGGCGTCCGAACCAGCAGGACTCGTCGACCTGAACCAGAACCTGGATCAGGTCTCCGGGTTCCAGGTCCAGTTCCCTGGGCCTACGAGACCGGTACTGGTTGGTCACCACCGCCACCTGATGGACCGGATCAGAACCAGATGTGACTGAATGGTCTTTCTCCAGTTTTGGATCAAATTTTCTCTCTGATCTGATTCCAATAATTGATCTGATCAGTTTTCTTTTTTTTTTTTTTTTTTTGTTTTTTTTTGTTGTTTTGCTTCATTCCACCTTAAAAACCTCCAGAAAGCACCTGAAGCCCAGAGGTCAGAGGTCGTGTCTTCATGTCATCACAGGATTAATCTACTCAGCAGGCTTTAAGTACCCAGAGGTCAGGGTCATTATGATGTAACCAGGGGTGGAAATTAAAATGGCATGTTTACCTGCTGCAGCAACAGGAAGGGCGGGGCGCACCGCTCTCAGCCCTCTTACCTTATTTGGAAACGACACCATTGCACCACGGAAGTGAAGGGGCGCTATTTCTTATATTATTCCAGATCTCCTGATTTAGTTTTCTTTTGAAATCTGTGATACATTTTCACCTTTAGGAAGGATTTTCTCTCTCTCTCAGCTTGTATTTTCCTTCAGTGCAGCTCAGTTTTTAACTCATTCTGTAGTTTTCTGTGTTCTTTTAAATCTGCTTAGTTGCATCTTTTCAGCCCTGCTGCTGCCTCTTGATAAATATGGTGACTTTATGAAAGGTCTCTGAGTGAGAACTTCTGGCAGATGATAAATGTATTGCTCTCCAGACTCGACACCTCAAGATCACTCAGAGAAAATGCTGGACTTATTTTAGCTTGGCTTTCCAGTGAGGTTCAGCTGATGCATCAGCCTTTCAGAGCAAAATGTTCTGGTGCTGCTTGGATCCAAGAAGGCGTCTGTGTGGATGACGTCGTCCCTTCATTGCTTTAACCTTGACAGGGAGCAAGGTTAAAGCTCACAGTTGATGTGGATTCTAATATTCCTGTTTCAGACTCAAGAGAAATTGTCTCTCTTCTCATATGTAGCAAGTTGGATTACTTTCATTCCAACTTTCACAAGTTAATTGTGCTTCACAGTTCCTGCCAAAACATGATCCTTTTCTTCAACAGAAAGACTTTGTTCTTGTGAAGTTTTCTTTTAAATTGTTTGCATTGTTCTAGTGGGTGAGATCTCAACAACCATCACTTCCTGTAGCGGCAGCATGTTGCTGATCTCCTCAGCCAATCTCAGTTCCCCTTGGTCTGAATCCCAGGTTGTTGCCCTGGACGACTGATGGATGATGTACTGATCTTGTAATTCTCCGAAAAAAGGACCTGATGAAATTTTGACACGTTGCTTGATGAACCCAACCATGTCTCTAAATCCTGCCTGGTATCCAGTTGTCTCCATGATATCATAAGCTTTACATCATTGTAAATATGTATATACAGGCATGTCCAGCTCTTCCATTACATTAAAGTGCAAATACCATTAAACAAAACAAAATATAACGATACTAATCAAAACAGACATCCAGGAACAATCTGCAGCATTCTTAATTTAGAAACTTCACTTTGAATAATTCACTTTAAATATTCTACAAATTTATTTGAAATAGCTCACTATCCATCACAAGGAAAAGATAAAGCCATCATTATTGATCATTATTGATCATGTCCCCATATCCAATCACCAGTCTCATATTCTTGTGGATTGACCTATTGACCTTACTTTTAAGAAGCCAGATTGTGATTCTGTAATAATGTTTAAATGTTTGATAAATGTATGTTTGTAATTTATAATCTGAATGTTCTATTCTTAATAAATTCTTGTCTGGTTTCCGTATGATAATCTCTTGTTTCATTGCAGTCGGTATAATGTGATTTTTAAACATTTCTGTAAAATGCATTCATATTTTAATGTCTTCCCAAAGTGTTTATGAACGTTTCCAGCCAGTCCATCCAACCCGGTGCTTCGTTTAATGATAAACAGCCTCAATAAGTTCTTCTATGAACGCACATCTGAAGGACAGGAAGGAGGACTTTGACTAGGCCACCCTCAGTCTACCAAGAGGATGGGAAGTGCACACCATGTCGACCACACCCTTTCAAAATAAGGTGCTGCAGTGTGGAACTTTTATAAAAAAGAAATAGTATTCAAAATACTTTTTATTTTGACATTCTTTTACAATATTAAAAATAAACTTTAATTTAATTTAAACCCAATAAATCTCACAATCTGAGACTTAAAACAAAAACAACTGCAAATCAAATTAATGGGAAAAACAAAAGCAAATCTCAAATTACACCAACGCTAATTAGCTTTAGTTTATAATTTAGTCAGCCAAATTATAAACAAAAAAGAATATCGATTGTAGTTCTGCTTCTGTAGCGCTGGTGCTACAACTCCAGCTCCAGAGAGCCACCAATTAGCCAACTAACCCAGACAATCAGTAACAGCAGCAATCTGGGATCCCCAACATGACAGTAAAGTGTCTGCCGACAATAATTAAGACATATAAGATCAAATGAAAATCTGGTATCTTAATCAGCCACACTAGTTGCATCCTAAAAGGCAACTAGAAATCATGCCAGGAAAAACAGTAGCAACAATACAAACGACCCCAACATTACACACAACATCAAAAATCAATTCACAGCAGCACAAATATCCAAGATCCAGAACCAGGCACCAGCGCTCATCCCACAGATCCAACCGGTCACGACCCGGACCCAAACTCCTCGCTCGGCGCGCACCTGGTGCCTATCGACAGCTGTGATGTGGAAGAGAACGTGTGGAAACCGGCCATAGATGGATTCAGGTGGCCAGAAACGGGTGGAGATTTACAGCCACTTCACGTAAACGCAGTTTTTAACTCATACACCACCTGGTTACATTCACTACAATTCATTACCTTGAGACAGTTCAAACTGCTGCCAGTGTGTCCAGGTGTGTGTTGGTAGTGTCTCCAGGTGTGTGTTGGTAGTGTCCAGGTGTGTGTTGGTAGTGTCTCCAGGTGTGTGTTGGTAGTGTGTCCAGGTGTGTGTTGGTAGTGTCTCCAGGTGTGTGTTGGTAGTGTGTCCAGGTGTGTGTTGGTAGTGTGTCCAGGTGTGTGTTGGTAGTGTGTCCAGGTGTGTGTTGGTAGTGTCTCCAGGTGTGTGTTGGTAGTGTCTCCAGGTGTGTGTTGGTAGTGTGTCCAGGTGTGTGTTGGTAGTGTGTCCAGGTGTGTGTTGGTAGTGTGTCCAGGTGTGTGTTGGTAGTGTCTCCAGGGGTGTGTTGGTAGTGTCTCCAGGTGTGTGTTGGTAGTGTGTCCAGGTGTGTGTTGGTAGTGTCTCCAGGTGTGTTGGTAGTGTGTCCAGGTGTGTGGTGTAGTGTGTCCAGGTGTGTGTTGGTAGTGTGTCCAGGTGTGTGTTGGTAGTGTCTCCAGGTGTGTGTTGGTAGTGTCTCCAGGTGTGTGTTGGTAGTGTGTCCAGGTGTGTTGGTAGTGTGTCCAGGTGTGTGTTGGTAGTGTGTCCAGGTGTGTGTTGGTAGTGTCTCCAGGTGTGTGTTGGTAGTGTCTCCAGGTGTGTGTTGGTAGTGTGTCCAGGTGTGTGTTGGTAGTGTCTCCAGGTGTGTGATGGTAGTATCCAGGTGTGTGTTGGTAGTGTGTCCAGGTGTGTGTTGGTAGTGTGTCCAGGTGTGTGTTGGTAGTGTGTCCAGGTGTGTGATGGTAGTGTCCAGGTGTGTGTTGGTAATGTGTTGGTAGTGTGTCCAGGTGTGTGTTGGTAGTGTCTCCAGGTGTGTGTTGGTAGTGTCTCCAGGTGTGTGTTGGTAGTGTGTCCAGGTGTGTGTTGGTAGTGTCTCCAGTGTGTGTTGGTAGTGTCTCCAGGTGTGTGTTGGTAGTGTGTCCAGGTGTGTGTTGGTAGTGTCTCCAGGTGTGTGTTGGTAGTGTGTCCAGGTGTGTTGGTAGTGTCTCCAGGTGTGTGTTGGTAGTGTGTCCAGGTGTGTGTTGGTAGTGTCTCCAGGTGTGTGTTGGTAGTGTGTCCAGGTGTGTGATGGTAGTGTCCAGGTGTGTGTTGGTAATGTGTTGGTAGTGTGTCCAGGTGTGTGTTGGTATTGTCTCCAGGTGTGTGTTGGTATTGTGTCCAGGTGTGTGTTGGTAGTGTGTTGGTAGTGTGTCCAGATGTGTGTTGGTAGTGTGTTGGTAGTGTGTCCAGGTGTGTGTTGGTATTGTCTCCAGGTGTGTGTTGGTAGTGTCTCCAGGTGTGTGTTGGTAGTGTCTCCAGGTGTGTGTTGGTATTGTCTCCAGGTGTGTGTTGGTATTGTCTCCAGGTGTGTGTTGGTAGTGTCTCCAGGTGTGTGTTGGTAGTGTCTCCAGGTGTGTGTTGGTAGTGTGTCCAGGTGTGTTACCTTGTCTCCCTCCACATGTCTTGCTCTTGTCCTGCAAACTGAGACCAACAGATGTTAATGAGCTGGAGTACATCAGCCAATCAGAGCTTGGAGTGTTTGTGTCAGTTTATGTAGCGCTGTGAGGACAGTGGAATCCAGGTGAACTGGGATCTGGGAATGGAAACCAGTTCAGGGTCGACTCAAAATGTCCGTCACTCCATCTGATCAGAACCAGGCAGAATGAACTGGGGCGGTCCAGTTCTGTTTGTACACAGAGAAACGGTAACTCTCACGACAGAACCGCTGGAGGTTCCGAACAGTTGTGCAGCTTCTGGAGGTCAGATCACCAGAACCAGAACCAGAACCAGAGTCCTACAGCCATCAGGTTATTGGAGACTTACTGGAGTTCTGAAGATGCAGTAAAAATTATAATGGCCACCAGAACCATCAGAACCATGAGAACCAGAAGGCGCAGTGTGTGTGTGTGTGTGTGTGTGTGTGTGTGTGTGTGTGTGTGTGTGTGTGTGTGTGTGCGCTCACCCTGTGGAGAAGATGGTGGTGAAAACCTCAAGCTGCTCGTCTCGCTGTGAGTAGATCTGCTGCATGATGCAGCTGCTTCTGACCGAGAGTCTTGAAATACCTGCTCAGGTATTTACACACAAACACACGCAAACACACGCACGCACACACACACACACGCAGCTTGTAAAGCGCCTGATTGTCCTGCAGGTGAACTGACCGGGTTCTCCTGATTTGTTCCCAGATTATTCCCTGATGGGTCGGATTCCAGCGGTCCGTTCAGCGTCCTGCAGGTGAGTTCAGTCTGTGATGCGTTCAGGGTCACTCTGAGATCAGGTTTATGCAACGACTGTTCCTGGATCAGATTAAGGCGGATTAGGGTGTTCCCAGAACTCTGTCCCTCGAATCAGGCTTCACAGCCAGAACCCAATCCTGTCCACTGCTTCCAGAACCGGAACCTGAATTATCCTGAAACCTGGATGGATTCATAATCTGAAGGTTTTCAGCTCCATCAACAACTGGGATTAAACTTAGATTAAAGAACCAGACAGGAAGCAGATTCAGACAATTTTATTCGGATCAAAACGTTAAAATTACAAAACCAGCCAGTTCTGATCTGACCCGGTGCAATACAAGATTCCTTCAGAACTTCAGGTTCTGTTTTTCATGAATACGTCACTGAAGATTAAAACATGATTCAATAGAGACCGGTCCTGATCCGATCCGGTTCTGACTCAGCAAATCATCACTTGATTCCTTCAGAACTTCATGTTCTGGATCTGTTATCCATGAAGCTTTAAATCACAATTCTTTAGAGACCGGTTCTGACCCGGTTCATGACCCGGTCAAATGCTAATTAATTAACTGCAGGATGGCAGTGGAGCCCCCTGGTGGCTGCAGGCGGCTCAGTACAGCTTCATGGAGGTCTCAAACAGGCGGCTCAGGTCCTCCTCGGTGTGCGCCCGCGGAGACAGTTTGGTCACGCGTTCCTGCAACAGGAACAGGAAGTGATGTAAAGACGCCACAAAACAGCTGGAGCTGCAGGTGAGCAGCTCACCTGAGGCAGCGTTCCTTTCACCAGAGCCGGAATGTCGTCCTTATCGTATCCGACGGCGCCGAGTCCGTCCTCCACCTGAAGGTCAAACAGGAAGCGGCGCAGCGTGTCAGCCAGAACGGCGCCGGCGTCCGCATGCTTCACCTGCCGCACATCTGCACCTGAACGCACCGCAGAGAAGAGAGACGCCTGAACGCACCACTGAGGTTTTAACCTCTGATCCTTACTGTGGGTCAAGGGCCCCGCTCCCTACCCAGGATCTCAGCGGCCTCCAGGTGGCGCTCTGGACACATGGCTGCAGTGAAGCTGAAGACGGCCGGCGCCGTCAGAACGACGGAGAGTCCATGAGGCTGCAGAGACACAGAGCCGTTGAAGAGAGCGGCAGGCCGGCGGGCCATCAGGAATCATTTAGGTTCCGTGTCTCACCACCAGGGGGTGCTCCACGCTGTAGCCCCTGGCTGCATGAGTTTTCACATTCCCAGCGATGGGGTAGGACATCCCATGGCTGCCGAGACAAAAACACAGGCAGGTTGAATGCGACGGCGGCGTTCAGGGCGGCGTTCAGGGCGGCAACGGCTTTCAGCTCACCACAGATGGACTCCAGCGTTCCCGAAGCCGATCCCAGCGAACACGCTGGCCAGGTGCATGCTGGAGCGAGCCTCCAAGTCCTCCGGGTCCCGCACCGCCCTGAACAGAAACCGGAGCTGCACTACCTGGATGCAGAACAGCAGGGAAACTTCCTCTGGACTTTGAGGTTAAAGGGTCAAATCTCAACAGAAACGTTTCGGTTGAAGAGTTTGAGTGAAGCTTCAGGAAAACTTCAGGAAGGTTCCGGTCCGTTTACCGCTTCATGTACTTGGAGACCACCCTGAGGGCGTGGCGGGACCAGACGTCGCTGATGGGGTTGCTGCCCTGGTAGGCGGGCCGGTTGATGGGATTGGTGGGGCAGGGCGCCCTCTGGCTGTAGGGTAGGGCGGTGTAGGACTCCAGAGCGTGGCTGTTGGAGAGACGACACCCATCAGAACCCGGTAACTCCGGTAAGACCCGCCCAAACCAGATCTGACCTCACCACAGCACGTCGAAGCCGCTGTTGGCGGCGACTCGTTCGGGCATGCTCAGAGTGTGCAGCGGGTCCACGATGCCCAGTGTGGGGCGGAGCGCTCTGCTGGCGATACCTGGACAGAAACAGCCAATCACGGCTCAGAGACAGCCAATCGCACGAGGTTCTGATGGCTGTCACCTGTTTTGGCCTTCAGAGGCTCATAGTCGAAGATGGCGACCCCGGTGGTCTCGCTGCCGGTGCCTGCGGTCGTTGGAACTGGAGAGGAAAAACAGAGCGGTGAGCCGGTCGGTTACCGGAACCTCGCGACCCAGAAGCGGCGAGGCCGACCTGCGATGAGCGGCTTCAGGGCTCTGGTCACCGGCCTGCCTTTCCCTATCGGAGCGTTGACAAAGTCCAGGAAGTCGGCATCAGGATGGCAGTACAGGTTGGCGGCTTTACAGGTGTCGATGACGGAGCCGCCGCCCACCGCCACGAACACGTCAAACGATCCCTTCTTCGCAAACGAGATTGCTTCTTTAAAACTGGGAGCAGAAGCTCCGCCTGTTAGCAGCTGTTAGCATCCGCTGCTAGCAGCTGTTAGCATCTGCTACTAGCAGCTGTTAGCGTCTCACCTGGAGTCGGTGGGCTCCACCCGGACATCGTTGAACACCTGGAAATGGACCCGGTTCTTCACCAGGGACTCCAGGACGGCCTGGACGGGCGGCAGGCGGGTCAGGGTCCGGTCCGTCATCACACACACATTCTGGGCTCCCAGGTTCTGGAGGTCCTGCAAATGGACCGGCATGTGAAACCTGGAGGCGGATCCCAGGTGAGACCGGAGCCTGAGAGGTCAACCAGGTCTTGACCTGGTTCTGGTTCTGGCCGGACTTCTTTAGTAAAGGAAACCAGAAATCCATTTAGATTCTTTATGTTGCATTTAGTTTGATTTTATTTGATGTTTTTTAAATCTAAAATAAAAAAAATCTGAAGTTTTTTCATGAACAGATTTGTTCCTCCTTCTGGACATTCAGCCTGGTTCTGGTTCTGGTTCTGGTCTGTCTTCGGCTCGCTGTGATGATGATGATGAAGAAGAAGGTGGTTACCATGCCGACCTCAGCGCTGACCCCGGATCCGTACCGGATGTTGGAGCTCGCCATCTGGAAACAAGGGTCCATTCAGAACCCGGTCCATTCAGAACCCGGTCCATTCAGAACCCGGTCCATTCAGAACCGGACGGGTCCAGTCCAGGTTACCTCGAAGGCGTAGTCCGTCTTCCTGCCACCACCCGCTGCCGCTCCTACACACACACACACACACACACACACACACACACACACACACACACACACACGGATCAGAACAGGGAGGTTCTGCTGGACCGGGCCCAGCTGGGTCTGGTCAACATGCGGACCAATGGGAACCTACCTTGATGGAAGGTGTGGGAGTGGGCGGGGCATCTGCACCTGTCAACACGGAGCATGCTCAGTAGGGTCAAAAGGAACCCCGAGACAGGGTCGGGTTCTGGTTCTGGTTCTGGACCCATCCAGTAACTGACAGATCAACGGATCGAGTCGCTTCAAGTTTTTACAAACAGAACAGGAAATCACAGAATCAAGACAAGGAACCACCGAACCGGACCGGGAACCTAACCGGGACCCGGACCGGAACCGGAACAGGAACCTAGCCTGTTCTACGTCACTGATCAAAGGTCCAACAGGTCAGAGTCCGAACTGGAACGGCCAAACCAGTCTGGGTTCGACCAAGGTCCGGCCGGCCCGGTCCGGTCCAATTCGGACTCTGACCTGTTGGACCTTTGATCAGTGACGTAGAACCCATTAAACACCGTTTCTTTGAGCCGAACCACTGCAGAACCAGAACCTTTTTGGACCAAACCGAGCTGTCGAGAAAAACCAACATTCATCCGAACCGCAAAGTCCGACCCAACCGGGCAGGGAACCGGAACCGGTTCGGACTTACGCCGCGCGCTCCAGCTGTCTGAGAAGGTGAACGATCCGGTCCCGACCCGCCATGTTATCCGAACTTCCAGCTGCTCTGACCCAGAATGAGCCGCCGCCACCCCGGCCTTTCAAAATAAAAGTCCGACTGTCACAATAAGAGCACCGGAAATGAGCATGGGAGGGCGGACTCCGCTCTCGGAACCACTTGTGGACCCGTACATAACCCGGATATGCGCATGTCAAGGTCGGGATTTGAACCCACAACCTGCTGAGTCACATTCAGCCTCCAGGCTGTTGCTGATTATATACTGCTGAAAAAAATAAAGGGAACAGTCAGACAACACAACATAACTCCAGTAAATCAAACTTGTGTGAAATCAAACTGTCCACTTAGAAAGCATCACTGATTGATAATCAATATCACCTGCTGTTGTGCAAATGGAAACGTAAGAGCCAAAAACGTCAGTCTGTGACATTGTTCATGACTGAATGCTTTTTGCATATTTAGATATTTTCTTATTTGTAAGTTTACATTTTATTATGTTTTGGTAGAAATGCACGAAAGTGAAAATACGTAAATAAGTGCTTTTTGTGTGTTAGAGAGGAGAAAGAAATGGGAATGTGTTATGTTGTGTTTCACTGGTTCTACAGTTTTTTGACCGTTAAATGCGGAATGCTGTGTGAGATTAAGGAATCCTACTCTGTATCATCCTCTCAAAGAAAAGTAAAGTTCGTCGTTCGTCAGACTTTGTGTGGATTTTTGTAAGTGATTCTTGAATTCACGAAGAGACGCACAAGAGCAAACTGTGGAACAGAAACGCGTCAAGCTAAGAGCTAAGCTAATGAACCGCAACAAAGGAAAGAAAACTGAAGCTAGTTGAACAATATAGTGGCTTTATAATGATCGAACTGCAGCCACTGCAGGAACAGACAACAGGTGGAAATTATTTTCATATTTATTTCATTCATTCAGATCTAGGATGTCTTATTTGAGTGTTCCCTTTATTTTTTTGAGTAGTGTATTTTATTTTG